TAAAAGAAAATTTCTTCTCCTTTCTCTTCCTAACCAATATAACAAGTAAATGTATAAGTCAATATACATATAAATATATTTTTGAGCCTATTAACATATGAAAATGTGATATATTTAACAATAAAGCAAAAATAAACAAATATCATAAATAGACAATTACGGCTGGCCGTAAGTTCTAAGTTCACTTGGTTAGAGCGTGGTGTGGATAACATCAAGGTCAAGGGTTCAGGGCCCCATACTTCTGGCCAGCTGCTCTTAAAAATACAAACAAAAGAGAAAAAGCAAAAGGAGACAGAAGAAAAAATCTGTATCAGAATAAGAAAATGACACAAAATGGTAAATTGAATCCACACAAACACATGAGATTAAGCAAAAATGAACAAGAAGGTTAATACAACAAACTCTTGCTATCTTTTCTTATCTCAGCTTCTTCATCAAATTATATAAAGTAATAAATATAACAATGAATTGTTGGGATTTAAACATATATAGATGTAATATGTATGAAAACAATGAACAAAAATGGAGAAGAGGGAATAGAGCTATATGTAAATAACGTTTCTATATCTCACTGGAGTTAAGGTAGTATAAATCTGAAGTAGACTCTAATGAGGTAAGATTTATTAGATAAGTCCTACAGCAACCACTAGGAAAATAATTTAAGTGAAATAATCATTAAAGGAATTAAAACATTAAACTAAACTATATTCACTTCATGGGTAAAAAAGCAAAAATAAAAGAAAAAGAGGATCAAAAAGGCATAAGAAAGAAAACAGAAGTAAAATGGCAGATGTGAATTCAGCTTATCAACAATAATAGACAAATAGGAATGGTTTTAAAACTCCAATCAAAAGGCAGCAATTCTCAGGTTGCATAACCAAATACACGCTACCTACAGAAGACATACTATAGACTAAAACATATAAATTGGTTAAAAATTAAAAAACAGAAAAGGATATATCAAGCACATGGTAACCATAAGGCTGGTGTGGCTAATATCACACAAAATAAACTTTAACACAAAAAACGTTACTAGAGATAATGGGAGACATTTTGTAATAATAAAACGGTCAGTAAGTAAAGGGGACATAACAATTTTATGCATACATTGCTGTTAACAACAGAGCCTGAAAGTGCAAGAAGCAAAAGTAATTAGAAACTTTAATACCCCACTTTCAGTAATAAATAGAACTGGGCTGAATATGAACAAGAAAATAGAAGATATAAATAACACTATAAAGTAACCATATCAAATAGACATACATAGAACACTCCACTGGAAAACTGCAAAATACATATTGCTGAAAAGAATATATGAAACATTCCCCAGGATACAACTAAAAAGATTCTTTGACCACAATGGAAAGAAATTACAAATTGCTAACACAAAGGAATTCTGAAAATTCAAAAATAAGCACAAAACGGTGGACTAACGGGTACAAAACTATGCTGTCTACACTAAGCGAATCACTGTGCAATACATGCAGGTATTGAAACGACACACTATACCCTACAAAAATGTAAAGTAAATGCTAAAATATTTTAACTAAAATTTCTTCAAAAGTGGGCACAAATTAAACACAATACAAAGTTTAAAAAAAGGTCAAAGAAACACTAACAAGGGAAATTAGAAAAACAATTGGAGATAAATAGAAATAAAGATATATCATACAAAAACTTATAGAACTATGGTAAAGCAATGCAAAAATTTGTAGCTATAAATAATCAAATTAAAAAAGGAAGATCTCGGTACAGCCCTTCACCTGTGCACACAGAAGACAGATCAGCACTGCCACAACTGCGAGGCCCAGGTAGGGAAAAGCCCCGGGCAATCTTCCACCCATCCACACAAAAGAAAGGAGTTAGATCAGCCACAACCAGGGAGATCCAGGTAGGAAAAGCCCCAGGCAACCTGCACTGCCCACACACAAGTCAGTAACACCACCATGACCATGAGGCCAGGTACTGTTTCTGCAGAGGTGGTCTGCAACAGCGACCACCACAACATCTACCACTGCAAGGACAGCTTGCCATGACTGTAGCAGGACAACCACCATGCAGGTGGCCTGCCACATGTTAGACTTCACTGACACAAGGACAGTAACCAGAAGAGCTCAGAAAAAAAGATGGAAGTTGTTCATCTCAAAGTCCACTCCAGAGTAATAGAAAAAGCAATTAAACTATCAGATGACCAGAAATCAACATAGAGATAACAGAAATACAGAAAAACAAGAAAATATAATGCCAAAGGAATACAGTAATTCTCAACTACCAGACCGTGCAGAACCAGAAACCCTTCAAATGACTGAAAAGAAATTCTGAGTAACAATCTTAAACTCGATGACATTAAGAGAAGACTCAGTAATACAACACAATGACGTAAGAAAAAACATCCAGGATATGAAGAAGGAAATTTACAAACAGATTAATACTTTAAAAAAGAATGTAGAGCCCGCTGAGCCGCGTCGCGGGACGGAGCGAGCAGCCCACCGAGCTGCACCGCGGGACGGAGCGAGCAGCCTGCCGAGCCATGCCGCGGGATGGAGTTGAGTAGCCTGCCGAGCCGCCTGCTGTACGG